TAGCGTGCGAGTAACAACTCGGCTGTGGCAGTGTAGCAGAATAAAGTAACGTTCCTAAGGAAAACCAATTATTATATACGCAGTGAACTGAAACATCTAAGTAACTGTAGGAAAGGAAATCAACCGAGACTCCATAAGTAGTGGTGAGCGAAAATGGATTAGCCTATTTAAAATATTTTTGTTTAGAAAAGCTTGGAAAAGTTTTTACCCGTAGAAGGTAATAGTCCTGTAAATTCAATTATATTTTAATTAAACATATTGAGCGGAAGAAAATCTGCTTGATTATTGGGGAACCATCCTCAAAGGCTAAGTATAAATGTTTAGCGATAGTGTAAAGTAACGTGAGTGAAAGGTGAAAAGTGTGTCGGTGACAGTAGTGAAATAGATCCTGAATTAATTATCATATAAGCAATTAAAGCAATTCTATTCGTAAGAAAAATAAGAATGTTATAATGTACCTTTTGTATAATGGGTTAATTGCAAGCCCTATTAAAATATTCTTATTTTAATATAAACTGACTCAAGGCTATTATTAGCCGGTATAAATATATATATATTATTATATATTCTCTATTATTTTATAGATATATTAATTATTTTTATATTTTATTATTTTATAGATATATTAATATTCTATTTTATAGAATTTTAGGTGTTATATAAAAAATTATATATTCTTAAATATATTTTATGCTAACGGTAAAAACCTTATTTTAGGCAATACCGTGAGTTATAAAAATAATAATTAAAAAAGTTAAATAATTCTTTTCTAAATAATTTTTATAACTTGTAACGACTCCTATTTAATAGGATCTATAAAAAAATTATAGATTAAAGGTCAGCAATTTAATAACTTTAAATATATATTATTTTTAGATTGAATAAATAAAATTTCAATAAAAAGAAAAGAATATATATTTTTATTAGTTCAGAAGCGTGAAGCTAATAATTAAATTGAAGGTATAGTCTGATCTAATATGTAAATATTAGTATAACATAGATGTAGCGAGTTGATGGTAGTAGCAAGGTTAAAAGCCCTAGCGAAAGCGACTGAATTTTTGTGGATTTATAGTTACTATCTTCAGACCCGAAACTTAGTGATCTATCCATAACCAGATTATTAATAAGATCGAATGGTTCAATGTTGCATTATTGTCCAATGAGTTATGGATTGTAGGCGAAAGGCCAATCTGACTAAGATATAGCTGGTATTCCTCGAAACATATTTAGGTATGACTTTCTTTTTATATTTATGCGGGTACAGCACTGATTACTATACCATTATGGTTTAATTGGGGGGTTGTTAAAACTCTATCATTAGTAGTTAATCTCGGAACAACATAAATCAATGAAGAAATTTCAGACTGCTCATGATAAGGTGGGTAGTCGAGACGGAAACAGCCGTGAACATAGAATAAGGTCCCAAAATAATAATTAAGTGAAAATAAGGAAGTTGTGGTCCTAATACAGCTATAAAGTTTGCTTGGTAGTGGCAATCTTTTAATGAAAGTGTAACAACTTAGTAGTCTAACGGAACACAGCACCGACAATTAACGGGTCTAGATTATTTACCGAAACTATGTCTTATTATTTATAATTATATAAGACTATTATTAATGAATTTGATTTTTTATTTTTTGTATTTATATAATTTATAAAAGTCTTATTTATTATAATAATACTATAATTATTAATAATTTTGAGTAGAGGAGCATTCAGTATGGTAGAAAAATAGTGTTTCATTATTTAGACATTACTGAAGAGATTATGCTAACATGAGTAACGTAGAAAGAAGATATAATTCTTCTCGCCGAATACGAAAGGGTTTCTTAGAAATGTTAAACAGCTTTGATTGAAAACGGTCTCTAAGATTTATGATTAAGATATTAATATATAATCGATGAGTTTATTTTTACCACTCGAATGAGTCTAGAAAGTCTTTGACCAAGAAAATAATAAAAATGAGTTTTACCGTACCCTAAACTGACACAAGTTCGTGAGTAGAGAATACTAAGGCGTAGAGATAATACTGTATAAGGAACTCGGCAAAATGCGTCCGTACGTTCAACAATAAGGGCGACCTAAAATTATTAGGTGTCACATAATCGTGAAGCACAACTGTTTACCAAAAACACAGGTATCTGCTATGTAATATTACATTGTATAGGTGCTGAATCTTGTCCGATGTCTTGAGTATAAAATTGATAGAGAAAGATTAACTTAACTTAATAAACTTAATATTAATCTTATGAACATTATAAGTCTATTTTTCTAATTTTATAATAAATCTTGTTTTAAATATGATTGATTCTCTTATGGGATGATATTTAAAGTATTGTTTATATTAAACTTTATAAATATTTATTATAAGTTTATTATAAATTAGTTATCTTAATTAGTAATAGTAAAATTTAGGGTAAATCAAGGGTACTATTGATCCAAAAATGTTAATATTATTTATTGTTTTAATGTATGGAAGAGGATCGTTCCATCAAGAAGTTTTTTTAGTAGTTATTAATTGAAACTCTGATCAATGACAGACTTAACTATAAGGTTTTTAATAGTAGCGAAATTCCTTGGCCGTTAAATGCGGTCCTGCATGAATAGAGTAATGATGCTTCAGCTGTCTCATACAGTATCTCAGTGAAATTGAATTAGCCGTGAAGATGCGGTTTAAGTGTGGGTAGACGGGAAGACCCTATGCAGCTTTACTATAACTAGTTTCTGTTCTTATCTAAAGATTGTAAGACAGGTATGAGGAGTATTATTTAAAAAATAATAGATGTAAAATCTCTGTTAAACTTTTTAAATGAATACACAAGTGAGAAACTCTAGAACATGAAAACATAGAAATTTATTTTTATGGGATGAGATCTAACCCTTAATAGGGAACATTGGCTAGTGGGTAGTTTAACTGGGACGGTAGCCTCCAATAGTGTATCGGAGGCCTTCAAAGGTATGTTTAAATTAGATGGAAACTAATTCATTATGTAGAATGAAATAAAATGTAAAGATAAAAGCATGCTTAACTGCTAGATTGATAAATCAAGCAGATACGTAAGTAGGACTTAGTGATCCGGTGATTCTTTATGGAAAGGTCATCGCTTAAGAAATAAAAGTTACGCTAGGGATAACAGGGTAATAGCTCTCGAGAGTTCATATTGTCAGAGCTGTTTGCCACCTCGATGTCGACTCACCTTCACCTCTTGGTGCACAAGCTAAGAAGGGTTCTGCTGTTCGCAGATTAAAAAGGTACGCGAGTTGGGTTCAATACGATGTGAGTCAGTATGGTTCCTATCTTCCACACTCAGAATAGTCGAATTTAGATGGGTCTTTAGTACGAAAGGACCGAGATCTGCGTTTCTCTGGTGTACCAATTGTTGATAAAAATCGGCACCGTTGGGTAGCTAAAAACGTTAAGGATAAAAGCTGAAAGCATATAAGCTATTGAAGTCTACTAAAGGAGACTAATCCTTTGAAATAATTAATAACTTAAGAATTTCAGAGGTAGGTAAGAAATAGACTATTTCTTTAATAGGTCACATGTGTATATTTCGTAAGAAGTTTTAGCTTAGTGATACTAATTTACCAATTGACTTACACCTACCATATTACCCCCAATTTTTACCCATGGGCTTACAAGTGGTTACTTGTACACGAGTTGCAACCTCGATGTATTTGGGTTCAATTCCCAATGAGCCCTTAATATAGTAAGGAAAATTCTAATTTATACTATATTCATTAAAATTTTATAATTACTATTATAAAATTTTAATTTTATTTTATTTTATTTTATTAACTACTATCTTTATTTATTAAAAATGATATATAAAAAATTAATAAATATAAAATTTATTTCAATTACCTCTAAAAACTTTAAAGTTTATAAAACTAATAGAATTAATATATAATTATATTTATATATTTATATATATATATTGATTCAGTAAAGTTATAAAGAAATCTAAGTATAATTAATTTAGACAGATAGGATTTTTCATAGTTCTTTCAGTAAAAATCATAAAAAAAATGTATTAATAAGACTAAAAAATATTTAGAATTATAGATATTTAAGGTATAATTAGTAGAATAAAGGGAGCTTAAATATTTTAAATTATAAAAACTTTATTCTACGAGTATACTATAAATTCATAGTTAATACTACTTGAATTATTTTATTAATTGAGATTTTGAATTTTATTGTAAATATGAGACTAAAAATATTTAGCTGCGCGCTCCGCACGGCGACTTTTTTAATAGAGAAAAGAAATAATAGATAAAATTTTTTATGGAAAATCAATACCTTTAAACAATTTAGCTCCGAGGACTAATTTTGGAACAAAATTATAAAAAAAGCGCAGCTTAAATTATATAAAATAGTAAAAATTCTTTAATTTTATTTGTTTATAGAGTAAGAGTTATACTTTATTTATATTTATACTTAATATTATATTTTATACGATTTTTATTTTTAAGTTTTTTATTTCATACTTTATAGTACTATTATAATTAATAGATTTTAATATATAATTATATTTTTATTGGACCCCTAGCAATTAATATTGCTAGTCCTATGGGACTGGGGGTTATATTTTTTATAATTATACAGAAAAATCGGAGGATAATAATTATTTTTAAGTTTTTTATTTATGGACTCCTTGAACTCCGCTTTTTCTATAATTTTCTTATAAAAAAATGGCCTTATGTACTTTTTATATTTTAGCTCCGCTTTTTGTCTTACAAAAAGCTAAAATTTTCTAGATTTAGGATATAAAAATTATTAAAACTACTTATCTGGATTTAGGCTCATTAAATTTTATAATTTAATGTGGGCTGCTAAAGAAATATAAATTATATTCTTTATATTAAATATTCTCAGAGAATTATATTATAAATATATAAAAATATAAGCTCTCAGCAGAATTTATGATAAAAATAGTATAAGAAATAAAGGAGAAAGAATTATATAATAAATATAAAATAAAATTATAAATTTTTAGAGGAGCGTAGTATAATGGTAGTATAGTTGATTCCAATCCAATTTGTGGGAGTTCGATTCTTCCCGCTCCTGCATTTTTAAAGGGATTAGATTAGTGGTTATATCGTGGCTGTTACATAGCTAAGACAAAGGTTCAATTCCTTTATTCCTTAATATTAATATATAGTTTTAGGAACTTTAGAGTTTAGTTTATTATTATTTTATACTTTTATATAAATATAAAATATATATTACTTATTATTATTAATAATATAATAAAAAAGGGATGATAGTATAACTGGTTAATACACTATCTTGTCAGGATAGCTTATGGCGGTTCGAATCCGCTTCATCTCGTTAAAATTAAATTAAATTATTAGGAGCTAAATTATTATTTGTTAATATTTTTTATTAAGAACTAAATTATTCTTAATTATAATGATAAATTAATGTATAATTGTATAAATTAATAATTTTAGACAATTACCATATAATTAATTAAAAATTGTATCATGATTTTTATAAATATGTCATGAATATTATAAAAAATAAACATATATTTTAAAGTAAAATAAGTGATGTATGTATTTTTATTTTTTTAGTGCAGCTTAATAAATTATTGTTCCACTTCTGATTATCACTTATTTTATCTCTCTTGTCCTATGATTATCTTAAAATTAATTTTAATCTGATTAAAAGTTAAATTTGATTTAATTTAATTAAAAAATTTTTACTATACTTTATGTAAGATATAAATATCTAAATCTAAATAAAAATGTAAAATAAATTTTATTAAGCTACGACTTTTCACTTAAAAATTATAATATTAGTTAAATTTAAGAAAGGAAATTAAAACAGTTATAAAATAAATTTATTAATAATTTTTAGCTCTGGAGCCCATGAGATTTTTTATGATTTTTCCAGCTCCGAGGACTTATTTTGGAACAAAATTATAAAATTAAGTCCGTAGGACGCGTGGCTAATTTTATAATAAAAATAATAACGGAAAGAATGGGAATTGAACCCATAAGAACTTACGTTCATTCAGATAGCAACTGAAGCGCCTCACCTATAGCAAGTCTTTCCAAAATTCTTAGTAAGAACTAATAAATATAAAATAGTAATAATAATAAATATATTATTTTATATTGCTTAAAAATAAGGAGAACAACAGGGCTCGAACCTGCGACACACTGATTAAAAGTCAGCCACTCTACCAACTGAGTTATATTCTCTATAAAATAAAATATAAATAAATGTTATTTTATTTATAATTAGAATAAAAATATTCTTTCTTGATTAAAAATATATAAATAAAAATAATGTTATTATAAAATTTAAAAAAGTAACTGAACTAAACTGACTCGAACAGTTAATTTCCTCAACCAAAATGAGGCGAGTTGCCAATTACTCTATAGTTCATAGATATAAAATTATTATTATTACCGAAAACTGGAATCGAACCAATAATTTAAATTTACAAGATTTATGTTATACCATTTAACTATTCCGGCTTTTCATTTTTATTAACGCCAACCGGATTCGAACCGGTGTTGCTTAAGTGAAGGCTAAGCGAATTAACCTATTATTCGATGGCGTCTTTTTTATCCTTTATATTTTTATAAATACATTAATTAAATTAATTTAAATTATTCAATTTTTTATATTTTTAAATATAAATTTATTACATATTATATATATAATATAATACGCGATACAGGGATTCGAACCCCAATACTTGGATCATGAGACCAATATGTTGCCATTACATTATACCGCTTACAAGCAGAGAGACTCGAACTCTCACGTCTAGTGACATCTTTTCTTAAGAAAGACATGGCTACCATTTCATCATGCTTGTTTAATAAATAATAAATATTATTTTTTAATAATATATTATATAAAATATAAATATATTCCTTTCTTTTAATAAATTAATGATAAAAATTTTAAATCCTTTTTCATTTATTCTTATTGCGCAGCTAAATTATTTTAGGAACAACTGAAATTCTTTTTATTTTTATTCCTCCGATTTTTATTTTTAGTTCCATGTAGGGGCAACGTAAAGTAAATTAGTTACTGCTACATGAATATCATTTAAAATAATATTTGGGAAAATACCTAATACGAATCTAGGAATTAATAATCTAGCTAAAATAGCAAATTCACGTCGATTTACATCTTTAAATTGAGGTAAAAATTCTGAATATGCACCAAAAGCTATTCGATTGAATAGGAAAATACTATAACATGCTGAAAGTACAATACCTGTTGCAGCTAATACACCAATAACAGGAGATCGTTGGAATACCCCAGATAATGCTATAAATTCTCCAGCCCAATTTAATGATAATGGAATACCCATGTTAGCAATAGTTCTTAAGAAGAATAATAATGCAAAAATAGGCATATATACTACTAATCCACGATAATATCGAATAATTCGATTATGTCCACGATCGTAAATTACTCCTCCAACTAAAGTGAATAAAGCTGGAGAAATAAAACCATGTGCAATAGATAATGCAATAGCTCCTTCAATACCAATAATTGTATTTGAAAATAAACCTAATACTACAATAGCCATATGACTAATTGAAGAATAAGCTACTAACATTTTAAAATCTACTTGTCGAATAGTTGCTAATGATGAATAAATTAATGTTACAATTCCAATAGTTTGTACTAATGGTGAAAAATAATTTGTAGCATCTGGCATAATATCAATTAATACTCGTAAGAAACCATATGTTGCAAGTTTTAAGAATAATCCTGCTAATAGAATTGATCCAGCTAATGGAGCTTCTGCATGAGCACGTGGTAACCATACATGTAATGGGAAAAGAGGTGTTTTAACAGCAAATGATAAAAAGAAAGCTAACCATAAAATTTTTTGACTTTCTGGATTAATATTAGATAATGAAATAACTGTAAAATCTGTACTTCCTACATTATAATAAATAACCATAATAGCTAATAACATAAATAATGAACCAGCTAATGTATATAAAAATAATAAGAATGAAGCTCGAATTCGTGTAATTGAACCACCCCAAATACCTACAACTAAGAACATTGGAATTAATACAGCTTCGAAGAAAATATAAAATAACATTAAATCTAATACTACAAAAACTGCAATTAATAATGTTTCCATTAATAAAAATGCAATATAATAATATTTATATCCAAATTCTAAATTATTCCAATTAGCTAATAAACATAATGGTGTAATAAATGTTGTTAATAATACAAAGTATAAACTAATTCCATCAATTCCAATATGTAAATGACAAAAATTTAATGTATTATATTCTTGTACAAATTGATATTGTAATGAACCTGAATCAAATCTTACCCATAAAAATAATGATAAAGTAAAATTAATTATTGCTGTAATTATTCTTCTTTGTTTAATTTGTGTTATATTATTTATTGGTAATATAATTAATCTACCAATAATAGGAATTAATAATAATCTTGTTAACATGTTTTTTTTTTATTTTTTTATTATTTTTAAATACTAAATTGTTCCTTCTTTAAAATTATTATTTTTTTAAATATATATTAATATATTATTTAAACTATTTTAAGATTTTTTTTACCTATTCGCTTTTACTTAGTTTATTGAATAATAAAAATGGGCGCTTGTAAGACAAAACGGAATTATTAGATTTTTGTGTATATATTTAATATATTTTTAATTAAGCTCCGAGGACTTGTTTTTCTATAATTTTGTTCCAAAATTATATAAAAAGCGGAGCGCGCAGGTAAAATAACCTTCATTTCATTAGCTGCGCGGACTTCTTTTTTGTCTAACAAAATGCGGAGCTAATTTTTCTTTGAGTATATTCATTTATCTTTTATTTCTTAACTTTTATAGAAACATACATATACGATATATAAATATAAATTAAATTCAAATTAATATTATTATAATAATAAGTTATTTTAAAATTAATGGAAAAGGCATGGGGACAGAAATAATAGTTAATATTATTATATAATAGATTATAGACTTTGCCCCACTGCACGCTAAATATTAAAATTTAAAAAATAATCTGATATTTTTTGGTATTTATTATAATATATATATTAAAATGGGCTGGCTAGGCGACTTTTTTATAATTTTGCAACAAAATTATATAAACAAGTTCGTAGCAGTTAAAAAACAGATAAATTATAATAACATTTCTCTTAAAAAGATAAAAAATTTCTGTCTTAGAAGTATAAAAAAGTAATATGAGATATAATATATTATAAGAAATAAGCTTTAACCTTTAAAAGGATTAAAGGAGAGATACCCCTAATTGGTAAGGGAGCTGGCTGTAAACCAGTCAGATTTTTATCTATTGCAGGTTCAAGTCCTGCTCTCTTCAAGGTAAGACTAATTTAATGGTAAAATGCTTCATTGTGGTTGAAGTCACCTCAGTTCGATTCTGTGGTTTTACCCGAGGAAAAATAGTATTATTAATAAAATAAATATAAAAACTGAAAAATTATTTGTCCCATTTTTTAGTTATAAATATTAAAAAGTTATAGTTTAATAGAGTTTTTATAAAGATTAATAATATATATCCCTCTTTTCATTTCAAATAAAATAAAATTTTGAAATGAAAAGGATAAAATTTTTTAATAGTTAAAAGTAAATAGGAAGATCTGAAAATGTATAAAAATATAAAATGACAAGAGTTGTGGTAATTTAGAAAAAATAAAAGTAATAAATTTTTAAGAGTATTAACGCCTATGTTTTATTTAAGATATTTTTTTAATTATATTTAAATGATATTAATTAAAAAAAATTGAATAATAATAGTTATTAACTAAATACAGAAACCAGTTTATAGAAAATTTTTATCCTTAAATATAAATAATACAGCTGGAATAGTTTAATTGGTAAAACTTGCCTTTCATAGTGGCACAAAAAAGGTTCAAATCCTTTTTCCAGCTTAATAATAATATATATATATATATATATATTTCAAAATTAGAAATTTAAAAGTAAAAACTGAAAATATTTCAGTATAGAAAGATACTATTAAAAGTTTAAAGGCTATAATTAACTTATTTATATAATTATGAGAGCTAATATAATAATATTATTCTAATAGAGAATTGTGTTAAAGATGGATTTATTGATATTTATTTTTGAATTGAAGGTTATTTATAAAAATACATGAATATATTTAAGAAATTTAGAAGGAAGTTTATAAATTGAACCTCTAAAAGATGAATTAGACTAATTTATTATAAAACATGATCTAATTTCATATTCAATTAATATTAATAATAAACAATATATTATTTAATATCTTAAAAAAATTATATATTTTATATATATATATTATATATAGAACATAATTCAAATAAAGAATGGGAAAATGTATATAATAATATAACTCCTAAATAAAATATTATATATATTTTAATATTTGAATAGGATATTAAGAATAATCTAAATAAAGTAGCGAGAATTATATCTAATAATAATTACTTAAATAATAATTTTATTGAGAATTATTTTTTGATTAAGAAAATAGGAGTAGAGAGGGGAATGAGAGAATTAAATAGTTTTAACAGATCGTAAACATAATACAATAGGTCCTAACATAGCTAATAATAAAATAATACTTGCAATTAATAACCATAATGATCCATAAGTATAAAGACCTTGTCCAATAGCTTCAATTTGTAAGAATTGTGAAAATCTTTGATCAGGTGAAATATTAGCAAATGTTATATGTACAGATGAACCAATAGATGAACTATCAATACCTAAAAATAAACCATTAAGATAATGGAATAATGATAATGGTAATCCACCTGCTTCTTTATATGTATTTGGAATTAATGATAAGATTTCATAAAAAATAATGAACCAACAATTAATCCTAAAGGTAAATTTTTAGTATATTCTCGACCAACTGAAACAATTTCTGTAATATTAATATTTAACATCATAACAACGAATAAGAATAAAATAGCAATAGCTCCAACATAAACAATTAAGTATGAAATACCAACGAATCCTACACCTAATAATAATAAATATCCAGCTGCATTAACAAAAACCGAAATTAAAAATAAAACTGAAATAACTGGATTTTTTGATGTAATTACTAAAATACCTGATAATAATACTCCAAATCCTAATAAATCTAATAAAAATGTATTCATATTTTATAATAATTATAATAATTTTTAATTAGTAACTTTCTTTAGTATTTAAATTTTATGTTCTTTAACTTTTATAAGTTGTAAACGTGTAAGCAATAAATTGTAAACTAATAGGTAATACTTAAAATCTTTTTGTTTTAAGTTGATTTTTTATCTTAACTAGTCCCTAGAAAGAATTGAACTTTCTTCTTGATATTAACAGTATCCTGCTTTACCATTAAGCTATAGGGACATTTTTTATATATGAATAAATTATTTGAAAATATTTTTTTCTTATTTTTTTTTTTACTGAAGACAAAACGGAGCTTATTATATTTCATATTTATTTATTTCACACCTTAATCAGGTAAGCAGGACTTGAACCTGCAACCCCACACTCCCAAAGCATGTATTCTACCAATTGAACTATCACCTGTATTTTTTTTTTATATATTATTTTAGTCTTAAGACTTCGAGGCTTATATTTTATTTCTTATATATTAAAAGAATATAATGCTCCGCGCTCCGCTTTTTTATATAATTTTGGAACAAAATTATATAAAAACAAGTCCGTAGGACGCGGAGCTAATTTTATATTAGAAACACAATGTTATTTTATATTTATTCTTTTTAGCATGTAAATTGTATAAATTTATATAGAGTTCTAATATATATTATGACATAATATTCATTTGGTAAAATTTAATAAATGTATATTCTTGAAAATAAATATTATGTATTTTTTTTTACTGTTAATATGTTAATATTCTTAAAATTAGTCTAGAAATAATAATTATTTAATACTATTTAATTTTATTTTTCTATTTTCTGCGCGCTCCGCATTTTTTCTATAATTTTATAGAAAATAAGTCCGCAGAGCAATATTTACTAATTTTTTAGTTAGCTGCGCGGCGCGCTCCGCTTTTTCTATAGTTTTGTTCCAAAATTATAGAAAGTCCGCGGTTATTTATATTAATACTTTAAAAAATAAATTATTTCTTTAATTGTTACGCAGCACAGAGCTAAAAATGCGCCTTTTGTCACGGAGTTAATAAACTTATATTCCTCAATCTTATCTCTTTATTTTTATTTCTTGGATAAATCTAGTTTTATATTGAATATATTGAAAAAATATTATAGATAAATTAAAATTATGGATTATTATATAGAAAATTATTACTGTTAATTGTTTTAATTTAAAAATCTTTAAATTATAATAACACTTGAAACAAAAAATTATATTTTAAATATGTAACTGAATAATTAATTTAATGTTAATTATCTCATTTGGATTAATATAGTATATATTGTTATCATTAATTAACCAATATATATTATAAAGAATAGAATCGTTTTTATTTTTTTAATTCACTTTCTTTTTTCTTGTCTTGAATATTTTATAAAATATAAATTAAAAAAAAAAAATATAAAATATAAAATTAAAATATAAATATAAAATATAAAATATAAAATATAAGTATATTATAAATAAAATAAAACAGTATTTATAAAAATATTAAAGATTAGTCGCAGTTTAATATGTATGATTTAATATTGGAGAAGTTTATAAATTTTCCCATTATAAATTCATGCAACATATTAATTTTAGTATATCTTAGATATTAAAGGATTAAATATAAGGTTAAAATTTTATAAGTTTAGGCAAGTTATTAACTTTAAAATATATATTAATGTTATATTGCCAGAAGGAGACTTGAACTTCTTCACCGAATCTTCAGTTCGGTGCTCTACCAGTTGAGCTATCTGAGCTTTATTTTATACTCTTGAGTAAAATATAATTTTCAATTATTCGAGAGTTTATTTATATATGTTTTATATTTATTTTAAAGTTAAAAATAGTATAATATAATGGAGAAAATGAGAAATTGAACTCATACGGCTGTGTTGCAAACACAGAATACTACCTTTATATGATTCCCCCCTTTCCTTTTATCTGTTATCGTTTTTATTTTTTTTTCTTACTTTCTTCTCAAGATTTAAAATTTATGTAAAAATACAATTTAAAGTTTTTTAAAAATATTGCTCCGCGGACTGTTTTTCTATAATTTTGTTCGAAAATTTTAGAAAAAAGCGGAGCGCGCAGCTAAACTATAATATAACTTTTATTATATAACTAAATTATAAAGAGTTATAAAAA